TCTGTTCATTCCCTGCAACTTGCTATCCCCTTTTTCTCACATACTGTACCTCTGGCAAAGGTGAGACAATTAAGACCCATCTTTTATTGCTCATGCTGCAAAACAGCCCTTTCTTGCACAAGCACCTTTCAGATGGGTTCATTACAGCTCCCGTCATCCACACATACCAGGAGAATGGCATGTCCGCCCAGCTGGTGGGGGGGGGGCATTTGGTTGGGTGCACACTGCTGTAAAGACTACATAGTAGCTAAGCCTTGCCTGGATGGGACCCAGCATTGAAATCAGGCAGGTAAAGATGTCTTTCCCAAATTCAAGTAGTCTTCCCACCCCCATGTTGGTTTCATTTCTGGCATTTTGTCCTCTTAAAAGGATTGTGCGAATCAGAGTTATAATCCTGTAATTCTGCTAAAGGTTGCAGTCCTGTGCTAGGAGGAAGGAAAAGGTATTTTCATTGGACTTATACATGGAAGGGACCATCCAAAGTATGACTCAAGAGATCAAGAGATCAGTCCTTCCCATTAGAAGGAGTAAAATTCACCAGTTAAAAGAAAACCCTGAGAATCATTTCTTGAGTCTCATCACACACTTCAGCTTAGGGGGCTATTGACATCAATGGGAGGGGAAAAAAATCAAATTATGTTTTTGTTGCAGTGAAAAATAAAGTGTGGGAGAGGGCATGCTTCAAAATCAAAAAGCCCCAGGAAGCTGAGGGAGACTTCCTTCTGCACAGACATACAAAAAAGTCTTGCATTAGTAATCCCAATAGAGTTATGGAAATTAAAGCAGCCCCACTGTGTGGAGAATGGCAACAACAGCAACCAGAATGGACTCAACTAACTTTTCGCACACAGTTGTGAACTGATTCACCTTTAGATTCCTTCCTTTCCTCCCTGCCACAACCTGTTATTTTTTCTTTCTTCCCTTCCTGTTCTCTTCCACGCCTGATTTGTTTTTTCCCCCCCCTTTTTCTTTTTCTCCTGCTCTCCTTCCCTGATCCCTACAATAAAAATATAGATGCATCCTCTTTTATTTATTCTTGCTGTCCTCACCTCTAAGTCAATTGAATGTGGAAGCCCTCGCACTTCCTACGTTTGTAAGCCGAAAGTGCCAGATGGCTGGAAGGGAGGCTAGACAAGCAGAACGGGATAGAAACAACCCAGTTGCTACTCCCCTTTTTTTCATCCTTATGCCTTCAAAATTAGATGAATACATTTGTGCGCTATAAAGTCACTGGTTGCAGTCATATGCCGTGCTCAACTATAACATGCTTTGTTCCAATTGGGTTTGGCCTGCTTTGAGCCCAGAAGTTGTGGCTTATTTGTGGTTAAATAATGGTTTAATGTGATGCATGAAGCCAGTCCTTGTTTTTCATATTATGGCAAACTGAATCCAGATAAATGTAACCATGTCTAGTGTACGTTTGGTGGGAAGTGAGGCTCCTTGAAGGTAGAAATGATGCTGTTTACTGAGAAGAAACTCAGTGAAAGGAAGAGCTAGTCACTTTCAGGGAGAAACAGGTAAGACTGGAGACTTACTCGGGGCAGAAGACCATCTCGATGCAATGAGGCTTTGTTCCAACTAGACATGTGCTTTGGCGTTTTATTTTCACATGTCCTCTTTTTGTTTTAATTTGTTATTCTTCCTTCATGTATTATTGCATGCCACCTGGAGTATTTTTACTATAGGGCAAATGATAAATACAGAAAACAGTCTTATTGTTAAAAGAGAAAAACTTCCCATTGATAGCACAAGTGGGACAAATTCACTCCTGAAGATCATAAACACATTTTATGAATCCAGGGCAGGCTGCACTTAATCCTTGCTGAAATCAAGACAGCACCCAACTTTTTCTGTGCTGCTTTGAGATCAAGATGCAAGAGGTTGAACAAGTGACAAAGCATCCCTACTGCATGGTAAGCCTCCTTCACTGCCATGGGCTTACTCAGAGTAAGTACAGCCTCTTCTAACAAAAAGTGCAGCATTCTCCACTTGGTGGCTTAAGAAAGAAAACAACCCACGTACGAATCCTTCGTTTTCCACTCTGGACCTGACTGTTTTGTTCAAATGTGGGGGAAATTAACATCTGATTCACAATGCATCCTTTTTTTAAAAAAAAATAATCCCCCTCCTCAAACACACTGCACTAAATGGTGGGGCATGTTCCTATTAGCCGAAAAGGCAGTCATTTATTCAAAGCCTTTCCCACATATTTACAGTGACAAATGAGGGTCTCTGGATAACTTTTGGAATGAAGTGACAATTTATAAAGGGAGATTCCCCCCCACCCCCACCAAACCCATCTGAATACCCAGAGAGAAATAGCTTGTAAAGATTCATTTGTTTCATAGAAGGTCTAAAGAATTTCCTGTTGGGAAGGAAGGAAGGAAGGAAGGAAGGAAGGAAGGAAGGAAGGAAGGAAGGAAGGAAGGAAGGAAGGAAGGAAGGAAAATTTGCTACTCATATAACATTCCTAGTTGCTCTCTTAGACAAGATTTCATTTTCTGCTGAAATCAAACAATTCAAGGGACTGAGCAACACTAAACAGATTGACCTTTATGCTTCATTTAACTCTTCTCACCAACAGAAAAAGGTCCCTCTTGTTCAAACAGTTGCAAATCGAAACCAACACCCACAAACAGAAGAACCTAATCCAGACAGCCCCATTTGGCACCTTTACACTCAGTACAATCCTAGATGTGTCTACTTGAAAGACTGACACTCTGAATTCAATAAGACTTACTATCTGAAAAATGAGTATATGATCAGAACTATTAAAAAATAATAATAAAAAAATAAAAACAAGAGATGAATGGCACAGAGAGCTGGGATTGTTAAGTTTTATTTTCTATCACTTGAGTGCACCAATTTCCTAGAGCCACGTAGCAGTCTTTGTTAAATGATTCCTTCCTGAGGGCCAATACAAATAAAAACTGAACTAATTTGCAGCATTCCTGTGTAAACCCTACATTGTTCTGCTCAGAAATTATTCTGTTGTATTCAACACTTGTATTCAGGTGCAGCCATAGTAGTTTTGGGGTTTTTAAAGGTTTTTTATCCTGCCTTTATTATTTTTTATAAATAACTCAAGGTGGTAAACATACCTAATACTCCTTCCTCCTCCTATTTTCCCCACAACAACAACCCTGTGGGGTGAGTTGGGCTGATACAGGCCTATAAAAGGAATTATTAATGGGGGTGGGGAAAGCAAATGACTCCTTAGGTTCTGCCGTTGGCTGGAGTCAATGAGAGGTAAAGTTTAGTCCTAGAGACACCTACCCAGAAATAACATTTGTAATTAATTTGACAGGATTCATTTCCACGTATGTACATTACAATAGGAAGTTTTGTTCCAAAAATGTCTGAATGTGTATGGCATACTATGCTATATATGCTAAGTAATTAGGGTGGGTGGGAGGTATGCATGTTCATAATTGCACAGAAAAGTCGGCTTCAATTGTTTTGTGAAATCCCAGCAGTATGAATGAACAACCGAAATATTAATAAATCTTGAGGGGCAGAATATTTTTTTCCACTACACCATGTAAGCAAGGGGATTAATGGTTCCAAGGGCCATTAAAATGATTCTGCTTATCATGATTTCAGCTATAGACAACGAGAGTTTTCTTGCTCAGCTATAACTTGCTCAGGTGGATTTTAATCCACCAACCTTTATGCTTTAATGAATTCAGTGAATTTGTCTTCAGGATGCAATTTTGTCTTCTTGGGAGATCCAGAGGAGCTTTGCTGAGGGTAAGCATGGACAAAGTTACACCAAAAAGTAATGGATGTCTCAGGATCCTTAACACAATGAATGGGTGAGAACAGTTAAGTCCTGAATGCACTCATTGCATTGCTAAATGCATTGCTCTGATGCAGGAGTTTGGGCCTCCTGACTGGCCCATTTCACAGGGCAACACTTCAGCCTTTACACAGAAGTGGGTCCCCCTCAGGGTCTTGGTTGGGAGGCCAAGATGATGGGGGCAATCACTTCTCCCTCTCCAGCTATAGAAGGGGACCATCCAAAAGATGGCTGAGTGTTTGAAATGATCAAATAGAGTAGGTACTTTTCACTCCAGGCACTGCAAAGAATCAGTTAAAATATAATCCCAAGCATTATTTAAGTTTCCGGCTTGTTCTGGTTCTGGGTCATTGACTTCAATGGGCCGGGGAAGAGGGCAAATCCAGTAGGGGAATGCTGGGTGGAGGACTTAAATGAACACCACGTCCCAACTTTTTAAAAGGCCTAGATCTTACTGTGCACAGGATGCGAGGATCACTCATTCTCACTAATTAGTGCTGCGAAATGCCTACTGTACTTGGCCATTTTCGCACCCAGATACCCTTCTGGAACTTATTTTTAGCAATCTGCTTTTTAAACTTCCCTGAGCTCCTAAGCTCTTTACTTGACAATTAGGCCAAGTCTACTCACTAGTAAATACCTGCAACCTTGGTTTGACTAGTCCAAAAGGGTGTTGTGGATTGGGCTCTTTTAGCACCCTTGTCCCAGTTCATCAGCGCGGATCCATAAAATCAGTAGACCAGGCCTTAGTTCCCACAACATGAATCCTACTCATTAAAACTTGCAGAGACAAAAGAAGCAGACGGGGTGTGTGTATGTGTGTGTGTGTGCGTGCACGGGTGGGGGTGGGGATCTTTAGAGGCAAAAATATTTACTTCTCTTCCCATTAATTTCGAGGCAGTTTGGGGAAGTTAGAAACAGGAAGGGCTGTATAGACCAGTTCGTACCCTGAACGTCGCTATTTTGCCTACAGCAGTTTGTACACGAGCCGGCTCGTCGTGAGCGGGACCTTATTTTTCTAGTAAGTCCCAACCCACCGATTAGGGAAGAGCGTGGTCCCGCTCGCCTTCTGCCCAGGACTAGAACCTAAAGAGCGCCCGTCTCCCTGGTCTATGAGCTGCCTTCGTCGCCTTGCCCGCCCCGAGCGAACGAGCGCTGTCTGGATCGGGACCGCCTCTCTGCCTAGCACGCAACCGCTCACCTTGACTTGACTCTCCGTCATCCCCAGCGAATAGGCGAGCCTCGCTCTCTCCGGCCCGGCTAAGTACTTGGTTTGCTCAAAAGTCTTTTCCAAAGCAAAGATCTGCTGGCCAGAAAATGTCGGCCTCGTGTGTTTTCTCTTGCCGTCTTTATCCAGCAAAATGGAGCCTTGATCTAGGGGGGGATAAAGTAAAGGGAAGGGGGGGAGATGCCACATAAGGGACACAGCACATTGTGGAGATACTGATAGGCTTGCGCAGAATTTCCGAAAGGGTAAGAAAAATGTGTGTTTCACACAGCGCGTCGTTTGCTCAACGGGAAAAAGGAAATTTCAGCACTTGGAAATTGATGCAAGCGGCGTCGATTGTCAAACAGCAGCCACAGGTTTTGACCTCCCTTCGTTGCAGGACGAGAGCCGGGTTAGTCTAGTCGAGGGGGGGAAAAAATCAGAAGGCGTCTGGTAGCGCCTTTTCCGATTAGCGCGTTTTATCAAGAAGCGTTTAAGTTCAAAACATTTGTTAGTTGGAAAAGGTGCTACCGGATGCCTCCTGGTTTGTTGACATCCCTTCAGGGTTGGAGAAGCTGGAGTTTTAAAAAAAAGTACACCGCTAGAACAAGAAGATAAGGCAAGAACATTTTTCCTCTGGCAGAAAGATTGGGAAAGAAGAAAGGACGTGGATAATGGTCTACATAAAAGATCGGTTCCGTCTTAGAGGGAAAATGTTAATTAATAAAGAACCAGATCCATTACTTAAAATACTAACATTAGGCACCTCATCTGAAAGAGTTGTCTAAATTTCAATTAGTGTTGAAAGTTATTTCGCCTGGGCAAAAGAAGATATTCCTCCCCAAATGAACCCGGTGCAAAATCGGGGCTCTTTCCCCCTTCAACTGCTTCCCCCAAAGAAAAGAATTTTGAAAAGGAAGCGAGAACAAAAGCGCCACGGCGGCCTTCTTAGCAAGCCACCGTAACCAAGTTCACTCAAGAATGAATCCCACGGATTTCAAAGGAATTTACTCTCGAGGGGTCTCCTGCGGAAGGGACGGGCTGCCGGGTTCAGTGCGTCGCCCCCTTGGGTGGGTCTTCGGAAAGAAAGCGGGGCGTCGGCGGATCAAGATCCTGCAGCCCCCTAACAAGGAACTGACCGCTTTATTTTTCTCCAAATGCTTGTAGAGAGCGACTTTGGGACTCGACTCGCTCTTTTAGGCGAGAAGAAACAAGCGGCGGCCGGGCGAGCGTCTAGGCGACAAGCGAAGGTGGGCCTGCCTCCTCCGCGGAAGGCTTCG